CTCGGTGTGAGCATTGCTCTTGTCATAAAGAACTGTAAAAATGAAAAAAAAAATCTCTTTGTTTTTGTGATGGCCATGAAGTTCTCTTTAGCTGAATTAAGTAGTAGGAAAGCAGGACATAATTCTGAAATTCTTTTAAATATATATAATATATATAATTCTATATAATATGATAATGTGTAATTTCCAAGAGCTGAAGTAAGTATTGTATTTTCATTATATCAATTATATGTAATAAAACACCAGGCATTGCTGTATATGTACAATATGCAATTTCAATAACATTTCCTATATTTCTCTATAATTTATTTTCATGTTTATCTATTTTTATTGACAACCATTTGTTTTGCTCTCTTTAGAAAGCAGATTTACCATATGCCAAATGCACGTGCATGACAAACTCCTCTTAAATCTGTTTGTACATTCTGACATTGAGCTCCATTTTGTTATTGTTTTTACCTTTCTCCTTATACTTAACTTGCAYTTCTATTTCAGAAGATTTAGTGAATGAAAATTTCATATTTAACACCTTGATTAGTGAGGGATCTGAAATAAGTTAATAATTAATGGAAGAGGAGAAAGACATTCTCTCTTCTGCTCCTGATTGTCCCTCTCCCGTGCATCTAAGGGCTAGATGATACATGTAGCAGATSATATTTCTGCAAGAAATAATATTTGATAAACCACACACATAATTTTGSTTTGAGTTTTTTGATTCTTTTATTTTCTGTCTTGTAAATGTGTCACAGAATGAGTAGTGATGGGGTTGAGTGACACAATGCACTTCACTTGCGTGAAGGAAGTAGTAATGGGTTTTATTGATACGGACGATGGCTTCGTGAGATTCTATGGCAAGGCTTTTATTATTTACTGTATGGCATTCAAGATATACACAGAATTATCAAGGAGACTCTCTGTTGAGTCATGGGGCTCAGATTGAAACCCTTGCTTTTGAAGCTCCTGAGGAGTCTGGGTACAGCTGGATCCAGTCCTAGTCCCAGACCTGGTCAATGGTTTATGACTAAGGGGTTTTGTTCACAAGTGCATCAGAGAAGTTTGCAAGTTGTAGAAGTGAGCGCAGTGTGGTCACCTACCATGGGTCTGTTGTGGAAAGGGATCTCTCAACCCCRAGGAGCCTCCTTGAGAGGAGTCCCTGCTCAAGGGGACATCCTGGCATGCAGGGAGCTGCCGTGCAAGGAGAGCTCAGTGGGCTCCCAGGCTGTCCCCATATTTCTGGAATAAGATGATTGATTTATAGTCATTCTTTCAATTCCGATGGCTTTTGGCCCGTGTAGGCACAATGAGCCTTATCTCCCCATCWGGATGCAGCCATCAGGACTGTTATTGATGTTTAATGTCTGAGCGGGGGAAGAAATTGGGAGGCAACCACCAGGATCAGATGATGTCACTGGTGGTTACACCTGAATAGGGCTGTGTGTGAAAAGTGAGGTAGGGCTGGGGAAGGAGCGCACCCGTCACCAAAGGGAATGTRACTGAGTGTTATTTCGGTAGGACTTTTGAAAATAGAGCTCATCCTCGATGTCATTATTCCATAGSTGCTCTCTGCATCTGATGGATGTGAGTTAAAGATGAACAAGGGGGTGAGGAACAGCAACACAGATGAGGCCACAAACCGAATCACCTAGACACTGCCCTCTTCCGATGAGCCTCTGTCACCTCTATAAAGAACTGACCATATYGACACTCTTCTTGAAATTTGGCGGTTTTTTTCACATGTTTTTGGTAGAGTTACAAAATGTAGTAAGTCGGGGACAGAATGGGATTGGTGATGTTGCTGCCAATGCTTCTGAGAGGCTTCTTGCTTTGGGCAGAAAGTTATTAGAAGTGTTGAGTGTGAGGCCAGCAAATATTTGCAGGTCCAGAGTGCCGAGGAGGAAAAAATCCTCTCTGAAAACATCTCCAGGATTCCTTCCCTGTAAATGATGGGCTTTGGCTTCTGTGAGAAAAGCAAAGCCAATTGATTTAATAGCAATTAACTTATCCAATATTGGAGAGCGGCGTACAGTTTGGCATAATTCATTGGAAACTGTTCTGGCAATGCTGCAGGCCATTAGGCATTTCAGAAGAAGAAAGGAGCTGGGAACTGCTAGATATTCCATACGGATACCAGCGAGATGCACACAAGTCCAGGGGTCTCCTGTAAGGCAGCCTCGTGCTGAGGGGTTGTGATCTTCCCTCGTCTTCCTCGAAAAGCTCCACGATGAGATTGCWGAGAGAGAAAAAACGCCTTTCTGCTTGATGGATTGGTCATCCGCCCGCCRGATAATTGTATTTCCTATTGCACCTGCTATAATGGGTTTCCACCTAAATTATCAATTACTTTGTTTTCATTTTTTGTGGGGCTTGCAGGAGTTAATCCTGGCTTCGAAGCACGTTGCTCTGTCTCTGCTGAAAAACAAGCAAGGCAGGAGAGAGCCCTGGCAATAGAGGCTGGAAAAATTGCCGTGGCGCCTGCACCCATCCCGGTGCTCCCGGCCAGCGGCGGAGACGGGCCCGGCTCGGCTCCCGCTCCCGCTTTTCCTCAGGCTGCTGGCCATTGCAGGGCATGAGACCTGGAGCTCCGAATGTGACGCTTTTGCCTCGTATTTAAGCATTGCTTAAARGAGCTCCTTAATCCGGGCTGTGTCTTCTGCAGAGGAACGCGGTGTGCAAAGCACACAGCCCCTTGTGCTCATCTGAGAAATCAAAACGTGCAGGTAGCACAAACCGCCCCTTCAAGGAGATCGTTAAGGAAATCTTTTAGAAATACTATGTTTTCCCCTCTTTTTGAACTCGCGAGTGGAGAAGGGAGAGAAAATAAAAGAGAAACAATTTGCTTATCGTTTTGCTTTTGTAATTGGATGACTTGCKTCAGTGTGTGTGTCCATATTTAATGAACGATCTGACTTGGCCTCGGCTGCGCGCTTTGTTAATGCGAGGCACCGCGCTGGCTCCCCATCCATTCCACTTTATTTGCCTGTGTGGGGGAAAATATTTCCAGCATGAGAAGCTTTTCTTCGATACAGACATATAATCACGTTATACTTCTTGGAAAACCACTTTCCTTCCTCTTCATTAATCATTTAGCCTGCCGGTTCACCTTTATCATTACAGCCCTATCGAGCCTTCCCTTCCCGCGTGGCTGGGGCAGGAGCCCAGTCCCCTGGGGATTTTGCCATGTCCTCTGCTGGGAGGTGCTCTGTCTTTGGTGAATTTTCATGGAAATTTATTATTTTTAAGTGGGTTAGTCTCTGACCTTAAGCCTRGTCTGGACAGTAACAGGGAGCCCACAACTCCATTGAACGGCTTTATAAGGATATATGTGGGGTTTTTTCCCTCTTGAGATGCATGTATGTTGACAGTTAAGTAATGAAATATTCAAAATACTTTGTTTGGAGAAAGGTGAAGAAAGCTTTACAAATACAAAGCTCGTATAGCAATATTTCTAGAGTACTTTTTTGGAGGAAATAGTTACCCAGACATTCACCCACCTCGGCTGTCCCCAATCATCAGCTCTATCGCATGGATCCAGCCATAGGAATCTGTGCTAAAACATCTGTGAAGGCAGAAATCAGGCGATTGGTTTCATTGGGAAAAGTAATTCCTCTGCAAAGGGCMAGTACAACAGCTGTTCCTAACATCAGTGATTCCYGTCTCTGAAAGAAAAAAWAAGTGAAATTTTCTGGTGGTTCTACTATACAGCTGGGATTATTGTCAAGAAAAACATATGTACTAAAACAGTAAACCTGTGAGCTTGGAAAGGCTTTTTACCCAGAGCAAATCTTGAGCAAACACTTGACAGCAACTAACAACATCTTAGATGTGCACGCTGAATAGCTCGGGCATAGACACGACTAGTGCTGAAAACCACGAACCCTGGATGCAGTTAATGAAAAGTGCAGTGGATACTGACTGCTGGAGGCACCTTAATCTAGTCAAAAATATGGTGGGCGATACATGATTATACCAAACATTGATCACTGGAGCTATTTCCCATCATGTGCCTGCAAGAGGATAGTACCTGCTAAGGAATCACTGTGTACAGGAACCACTGTATTGTGGTTACAAAAAAAAAATGACTAAACCATCTGGAACAGACCTCCCTTTTTTCTTTCTTGATGTCCTTTTTTCACTGATTTCAGTGGGCTGTGAGTCAGATCCATAAAGTCTCTGACTCGATGTGTTGGTCCCATGGCTGACAAGATAGCAGGTACTTCCTTTGAAGTCATCAGCCAAGGTGTTTACATAAATCATGGATTTTATTGAAGCTGCAATTAAAACAACTCAGGCTTAATGCACACTGAAAGCCTTGGTAATTAGTGTACAGGTGAATATGAGGGAAATGGCACCGATTTATCCATCCTCTCAGCGAAAAGTGAAATAAAGTACTGTGCATGTAATCGAACAACGCATGAATATTAATGCTSAAAATCCTCTGAGTCCCTAGTTCCCTGATGCAATTATTTTCTATTCACATTAATTGTTCCTAACAGATGACATTAATGACTTTGAGTTAAAATGTGTGCGAGGGAAGCCTTCACTAGATCAATTCTGTTTAAAAATAGGGTCGCTTTTACAATCATTCACTAGAGATGTTATAGTGCCAAAATAAAACAACATTAACACGTTGATTGATTTGTGTTAATTTTGTAGTTCTTTTTTTTTTCATTTTTTTCCTGAAACCTGTCAAATACTCAGGGTAATGATGGGATCCGTGTTCATTTGTCATTGTTGCATGTGGAATAGTGATAACTTGTAAACGAATGACTGGGAGAAAAAGTAGTTTGTTTTAGCTGAAGAATCATCTCTTCTTCATAGGACAAGTCCTGGGCAAAGCGAGTGGGAACAGCAGCTTCTAAAATTAGAACAAATCCTCTTTAACCCCAGGGTCTTCATTTTTCTTGAAATTTAAACATAGAGATGGAACTTGTAAAAACGCTGACGTGCTGCCTAGTTGACAAACATTCATGCTTTGGTCCTTCCCTTCTTCCCCTGCCCAGAAACTCCACTCGCGCATCTTAGACCTCTCCTCTGGGGATTTGCTTTTGGAAGTGGAAAGGAACAGAAGCCTGGTGCAATCTCGGCCTGCCGAGGCTCAGACGCACGTGAGTTTTTGTGCTGTCCTTGTCTCCCTCGTGGGGAACCTTCCTCTTTTCTCCTGCTGAAGTGCAATGTCATGAAGGGAGCCGTGAAGCCGCTCACCGAATCGAAGCACCGCTGGGACAGATAACGATACTTCTTCCTCCTCCTGTTCTCTGAAACTCAATATTGTGTTCTCAGTTGATATAGTAAGCAGATAGTGTCACTCTGTGCAAAAAAGCATAAATCTTAGCAATGTCCCCAAGATACCTTTTTGGGTATTGATTACATCTCAGAATCTCTGAGAAATGGTCAAGGAGCTTTTTATTAAAGCCCATGTACCGTATTATTCATACTACTTTTATGATATATTATGTATGAACTTTTAAAAATTCATGTCTCTGCATTTTTTTTTAGGTGGTGTTAGCGTTGTGCTTATTTGGCAAAACTTTAGCCAATGTGGCTTTCATGTTTCATTGTCAAAGGGAAAAGTAGCTGAAAAAACAAAAGTCACATAAAGATAGAGGGAAACAAAGAGAACAAGAACAGAATGTTGAACCTGTCCGTGCCTTTGATCTTGAAGTACAGTAGTGTCAACAGAAATATAATCTGCTTTGTAATACATATTTTAATGAAAAGGCATCGTTTCAAAGGTTCACAAAGATGCTAACGACCCTTTGCATAATACGTAATTTAGCTGAAGGGTTAGGGTTTTTCTGAGCATATAATTTTGTCTCCATATTTGTTYGATTCTTTCAATTCTCTGTCATTTTAGTAACAACTAGGTGTTTTAATTGCTGTGTTGCAGTTGAGCTTTTGTACRCCAAGTTTCATTAAAGGTAATGATTTAAAACTCATGATTACAAAAAATGCAAATTCCATAATGCCAGTTAATTAACTGATATATAAGTGAAATATATTTAATTGATAAACATAGTATTTAAAGTTCTTCCTCAGAGAACAGAGGCAAAAGGCAGGAGAAAAATCCGKGCCCGTTCTAATGATGCTAATGCAGCCTAGAAATAGGGTAGACATCCTACTTCAGAGTCTCTAGTTATGTTATTTACTTTTTACAGATTTCTGCTCTGTTTAAACAGCAAAAGTGATTTCTGTAATATCCCCCTCTTTTGCTTGCCCTGGGTATCTGTCTGTTTTCCTCACTGCAGAAACTCTAGGAGCAAATGCCTTTCTTTTTGGTGCAAAGGAAGGGCATGTGAGTGAGGGGATGGAAAGACCAAGCAGGACACCATGATCTCCTCTTTTTCCTTAATCCTGCAGGGAAGGATCATACAGACATCCATCCCTTAAACCCTCTGGTGCCTGGAACGCAGCCTAGTGGAAAGTCTTCCATAGGAGCCAGGACACCAGCAGTAGTGATTGGTACCAACAAAGTCTATCCCTGAGCCAAAAGTATCATCCTGCCTCTGATTGCAGGAATTCCTCCCAAATTGAGAGGATTTAATGGCTTTTGCTCCCTGGCTTTGACTTCCTGAGGGAACACGTACCGAGCACTCCCGGAGGTGAAACCTGCTCTTGCTCCCTCTAAATGATGTTCCCATTCATAGGTTTTTCCCGCGACAGAGAAGAATGATTTGTCCTGTAGTTACGTTTGTCAAAACCAGAACATTATTATGTCAGCTGAGCAATGAACAGCTGTACTGATGAACTGCTTGGCAGGAAAAAATCTGCTCCCTGCCATTTAACTGAAAAAAAGGTTCAGCCAGAGAGCTAATAAATGGAAAGAAGTGGGTGAGAAAATGGAGGAAGTTAACAAAAGTCCAACAAACATCTTGGTGCCTGAGAAGTGCCTACAAACTATGCATTTTTTCCCCAAGATTTGCATGAAAAGGCTGTGTCTCTCCTATATATGCTCAGTTTTGGTAATTGTTTTGTGGATTCTATGACTAGATTTCCTTATGWCTTCCTGAATATAAAGGTAAAAGTTTTGTTTAAGCAAAACGAACGTAGGCTGTAGTAAATAAATAAATAAAAAAATCAATAAATATTCTTTGAGGTTGCAAGATTGTTTTTTGCCATAATGAAATTGAAAATAAAGCTTTATAAAAGCGTAGTCATGTCACCCTGTCTGGCATTCCTGGTAATTAAAAAGATGTCTGGTTCTGTAAGGAAGTAGAAGCATAACAACAGAAGAGCATGGGCACTTACCATTAAAAAAAGCTCTAACATTGTTAGGCACAAGAGTATCAGCTGGAAAACAAATTAAAGGCATCCTAGATACTCTTACAGAGGTTTAATATTTTACCTAAAGTGCTATCTGCTCTTCATTACTCTCTTCCTCAAAGCTGGCACTTAGTCACAGTCAGCCGAAATTGCGTTTGGAGAGGGGCGATAACTGCACAGGCACCAAAGGCAGCCATAAAGTGTCAATAAATTGCATAAGCAAGAGGCTTCAGCTGTCGCGGCGTGACACCAAGATGGATGGTCCTACGTCAGAGAGTTTCTTAGACAAAGCTTTGAACTAGATAGGAAACCCAAATGAGACTGTAACGGAGAGATTCCATTCTCGGTGGACGTTCTGCTTGGGACACTAAATTAATTTGCCTTGTCCAGTGTGTAGAGGCTCATCTGTTACATCGCGGGGCTATAATGCAGTTGTCAAGATGTACTTGTACTCGGATAACTTTGTTTTCTGTATCTTACTGAAGCCGCTTACGTCCAAAGCGTAATTCAAATAGACTCGAAATGAGCTTTTGCAAAGGCAGATTATTGTTTCAAGAATAAAGGAAGAAACGTGGAGGACTGTGGATTTTGTCCAAAACGTATGAAAAACGTAGCAATTTTTCCTTTAGTTCTTTGTATTATTTTCCCCAGATGCTGATGGCATGTACAAAAGTGCAGGTAGCTTACTTGCTGGGTTTTGTCCTGCTTAATCAGGGGGAAGAAAAGTGATCTTTTCCCAGCCCTGAGATATTTCTGTTTCTTCTCGTGTTTTAGGAATGCCAGCAGAATGTKAAATCCTGTATACCTGTCTTGAAATGCCACAGTCAATTAAATATGACAGGTCTTAGCCGCCTGTATCCCCGGAGCAGCTGCAGCAGCAGTGAACTCTCCCTCTCAAGTGCTTGCAGTGAATATTCCAGTGGTTCCTCCTACACTTGGAACGATGGGAAAACATGCAGCAAAAGGGTAAATCAAATTAATTTGCTTCATTTATTAGCTTAAGTTCGTTTGGAACAAGATTAATTGAGTGGCTGGCTGTTTTTGAAATATTTTTCTTCTATATATTTAAACCACTTGTCACTCCACTGAATTCTCTCTCCCTGCCTTCCTGCATCTTCCTCTCTTCCCCTAATTTTCTTTTTTCACAAGTCTTTTATCACTGCARTTTGCTCACAGTTTCCTCATTTATTCTGACATTTCTTCTGTCTTTCACAATCCCGTTTATCTTAAACCTTTCATTCACACTGTTATTCCTGCAGGTTTCAGGTGTGCTGCACCCTTCACACCACTATGAAATTCTGTATTAAAAAAGAACATTGGTATTAATAGCAAAGAATGAAACAAAATGCCCTGTGTAACTCGTCATTCTCTTTGCTAAAATTGTAGCTAGCACTTTTGAGTAATATGTGAGTTTTATTTTGTCTTAACAGTCATCCATAACCTGGGATAAAAGAATAAGCATTGGCTCTTCACTCCCGAGCAACCTCTCGAGTCCTGCAGATGACCTCCAACTACCTCCAACTCGTATCAAGGAAAACCATATCCTACAAGGGCTGAAGAAGCTACAGAAACAAAAAATACTGCTGGAGACACCTTCAGTAATATCAAAATGGGGTTACAAGGATTGCATGAACTCCAATGAAGGAATTTATTCCCCGGGAGTTAAATGTGGCAGCCATAATGAACAGACTCACTGTAAGCCAACAGACATAGGCAATATTTGCATTGAGCACAACAAAACTTTCTCTTTCGACTCAGATTCACACGAAGACATAGACGACGAGTCTTCATCTTTACTGCTGCTGCAGGAAGTACCAAGCAAGGACTGCAGGATCTGTTGTAACAAATTAACTCACAGTGTCTCTGACAGCCTATTTGATTGGGACCTTAATAGGAAACAGTTGCCTGAAAGAAGCTCATATTTTAATTCAAAAGAAAGACCTGAAAAATTGACAAGTTTTGTCAGTGAATTTCAGGCAGAAGTAAAATCGTGCAGTGGAACAGAGCTGCCYGAGTTGCGCTTAGATCAAAGCCTTGTTAATACAGGCTGGAAGGACCTTAATTTTCAGCTCTCAGATACTGATGACAATGAAGTCTTGGATGAATTACATATAGAAAGCAGCGATGAGAAGAGTCCATCAGATGTGTTAGCGACTCCGTTCCCCGAGCAGTACACGAAGACTGCTGACACACTCGTGGTGGTGGAGAGCTCGCAGTTTGTATCTACTGACAGAGAAGACCAACAGCCCTCTGCACACTCAGATATTAGGCCAAAGACGGGTAGTTTTATTAAACAACAAAAAGTTATAAAGAAGACCTCTTCTGAAGAGTGCATTACTGTAGTATTCGATGCTGAGGATGGTGAGCCTATTGAGTTCAGCTCGCATCAAACCGGAGTTGTCACCGTAACAAGAAATGAAATTTCAATCAACCAGCCACAAACTAGGTCCAGTGCAGAATATACTCAAGTTATACCTCAGGGAATAGCTAGTTTGCAGGCAGGAACCAATGCTAGAAAGTACACTGCTTTAGAAAGACCTGAAGATGAAAATGAGAAACAGTCTGCTGAAGAAAACACGGGGAATAAAAATACTGTTGTCCCCGTGACCTGCAGTGAGTCTCCAGGCTATGGGAGAGCGATGCTGCAAAATGCTCCACGACAGAAACTAGTGAAGCCAGTGTATGATGTATCATACAAGGCGAACCCCAGCTCCACTGTGCACACAGGCATCACTCAAAAGCCAAACCTGACTAAAATACCCAGCAGAGGGAAATTTTCCCCTCAGAAAACCGCGATGACAGAGAGCGAGGAAACACCTGCCCCTGCATCTGTGGGACCTGCAGCCCTTGAAAAATCGCCTGCTCTGCCCCCTGTAAAGCTTTCCAGGTTCAAAAAGGCACAAAGTCCACCTCGTAATCTGGACTCAAAAGTCACCCTGCAGCTCCCCAAGCCCCCTGCCCACTGTCTGCCCAGCCCGAAGCCTCCAGGTAGAAGCGACGGGATGAAGAACCCAAAGAGTCCGAGCCCAGGATCACCACTGTTGCCTCAGCACCTTGTAGAGCCCAGTGACTACCGAGAACCTCCCACCAGAGACGTTCATTGCAACGCAGCAGCTGTAGATGCCCAGTCGCCATCACCGCCCCTTCCTCCAGGCAGGTCAACTTCGCTGCTAATTAGGCCTAATTATGTTCATTCATCACCTGTGTCTGTAAAGTTAGGAGTAGCTAGTTCCAGTGAAACAGCAAAAAATGTACTTAAATCATCACCATTAAAGGGGACTGTGAACTCTGGCTTTCATAATCAATCTAGTCATGAAATGCAAGCAAAAAATATATCTTCTGGGGCCAAAATTGAATTATCTTACCTTCAGGAAAATGCAGAAGCAATTATGCAAAATAAATGCATATCTCAGCAAGCCCACAGCACATGCCAAGGACTTCCCAAAGTTCCTGCAAAGCAAGTTTGCCCCAAAACCCCTAATCAGCTGCCTCTCTGCAGGAACCGTGATTTTTCCAACACAGATTTTCCAACAGCCAGGTCTTTTTCCCTAGATTGTCCGTCAGGGGAAGCAACTTCTTCACCAGGTGCATATTCTAGCAAAAAAGACACTTCCAGTGACAGTGGGATTGATCAGCCACAGAAGATGCCAAACCTTGTCCCGGCAGCGCCTCCGTCACCACTGTTTCACAGTAATGATGCTACAAATGCTACCCAGAGCTCTAATGAGAAAGGGATGAGAGCCCGTCGTCCAGCAGGGCTGAAATTATTTGTTAAATCTCCCCAGCTTCTCCGAAAGAGCTCTACTGTGCCGGGGAAGCAGGAAAAGGACAGCATCAATGCAGCTTCCAAAAGCAATGTGGGTGCAAGCAAGGGCAAGCAGGACGAATCAAGGTGTACAAGCACCAGAGGAGCAAAGGACACTGAATTAAAAGACTCCAAGTCTGACACTGAAATAAAAGATAATTTTCCTGGGGGGCTTGGCACGGATGCAGCGTCGCCGCATTCACATGAGAACTGCAGCACGGTGGTGGACAGAGGAGATGGGTTAGAAAACAAGTTAGTGAAAAGATCTCTTTCCTCTAGCAACAAGTCGCACTTGAAGCCGGCGCTGGGCATGAACGGAGCGAAAGCACGAAGCCAGAGCTTCAGTGTTCACCTGGGGGAGAAGGCGTCTGCCCCGGGGACAGAGGGTGCCGGGAAGGTGCGGACCCAGATTATTACCAACACCTCGGACAGGGGAAATTCTCTAACGAGGCAGAACTCGGCCRTGGAAGGACTTCAAATCAGGGTTGTTCCCGGCTCAGCGGGGACATCAGAGACTCTTTCAGCCGTTCCTAAAGCCACAGAAAGTTCTTATTCTAGGCAAAGTTCTCTGGGAAATGCAAGCAGCAGCAGCCAGCACGGAAGCCCGAGCAGGCTGCCATTCAGATCACCTCCAAGACTGGACTTGTTCCACAGCACTTCAAAAGGCGAGGGACACAAACCACTCGCTCAGAAAAATGCCCGTGGTCTGTCCGTCCTGGGTGAGAAAAGCAGAGAAAGTTTCAAACACGAAGCTCTAAATAAAAAAAGTGCTGTCCAAGCTGCAGAGCTGGAATTCACGGTGTCAACTGCTGTCTCCTCTGAGCAAATTTCATCCTTTCAGAACATGGATGGGCTACGGTGTCCTCAGAAACTCGAAGCAATGAAGTTGCAAAGACAGCAGATGTCTTTGCAGTTAGCAGAAGCCTCCGAGAAGGTTACAGGTCCTTTGAGTTCCCCTGCTCTACAGCCTACAATAGAGGAGAAAGTCATGTTGTGCATCCAGGAAAATGTGCAGAAGGGGCAGGGGCAAAAATCGCCCACTGCAGAGACTAAGCAAAAGACTGGGCCCTCCCTGGCAAGCTGGTTTGGCTTTCGCAAGAGTAAACTGCCAGCCCTGAGCAGCAGGAAAACCGACATTCCTAAAGCCAAGCTGGAAAAAAAAGAAGCAAAAGTCTCTGGATTTGGAATTAAGCAGGCAAGAGTAGAGAAAAAAAAGGACAAAAAGAAAACTGACCAGCACTGTGAAATAGAGAGTGAAGTTAGCAGGAAAGGAGACAGCACTGATACTGTGGATGATGTTCTGAAGAGCAGAAATCTGAGAACTTCCCAAGCCATTCCTGGCTGTGAGCAGGCCAAGGGCTCCGGCCCGGCTGCCTACTCGCCAAAGGACAGCTTTATGAGAGAGCTTTTGAACAGGTAACACTCGGGGAGGCAGTCTGGGCTGTGCCAGCTTTGCTGGCATCTCCAGATGCTAAGCTCAGTGTGTGCTGCTAACACAGCCTGGTGCTCTGTACTCTGAAAGGGACTTTAAAGGAAAAGAAATTAAGAATGAGATGTTAGTTTTGTTCCTGTTACTTTTGTTAGCTGAACCAATGGTCTTTGAAATTAAAGAATGACAAGTTACATCCACGTTGATAGAAATTCAAATGATTTCAGAAATCAAGAATCTAAGCAGATGGTTTGAAAAAAGTAGAAGATAATTAGGGACATGTTTTAATGTATTCCATTTTCATTKATTATAACCAGCAAGCATATATTTGGTAACTAGTCAGAATTAATTACATTTACAGCGCCCTTAACCTCAGGTCACAGAAAAACTTAACAATTACTGTGCAGCGTTTTCATGTTTGCCCCACGGCAGTCCCAAATATAAAATAAATCATTACATGTGAAAGAGTAAATTGATATACTGCCTGAAATTGCAAGTGACAGATTTGATCAAGGCTAGTTAGAAGCATTTATCACTCAAAGGTCTAGAGACAGAAAGATACAGAGAGGTTACTTTAAACATTAAAGGAATGGGAAAGTGGAGTGATTGAAGAAGGGCAATGTAATTTATCAGAGGAATCGCTCTCTACCTGCAGAGTTGATAAGGAAGCAGCTCAGCAGACAGAAAGTGGATCAAATAATGTTTCCTACAGGAGTGTGTCGAAGGGCAGCTCCCAGGGCTCCTCTCTTCACGACAACTCTATCATCTCTCAAGGAATCCACAAGAAAAACAGCAAAACAAAAGCTGATATGGAAATGCAGAACCAGACCCTGGTAAGTGCTTTAGTACATGAAAACAATATTACCTTCTTTTTAACTTCTGGAGGTGCTCTTTATTGCCGGTGTAGGCAAACAGGATAATAACTGTTTATATATGATAGAAAAGATTGTGTGTAGCTAGAAAACGATGAATTAATACCGGAGCAGCTCCACTGTAGGCCAGGTTATACAGCTAGTCGTGAGGATCCTACTGCTTCTGCTGGCAGTTCAATTCCAGGGGAAATATATGCACAATGATGCCGTAATCATGCTGCGGTGCAGTGAAATAATAGGCCCATTTTCTGTTTTTCCCCTTTTTTCCATTTCCCTGAAAATTGCATGCCAGCATCGAACATTCCTCTGAATGTTACTGAGCTCGTTAAACCTAAAAAAAAGCAGTGCTGGTGGGGAGAGGGCAGAGAGTTTGATCACAATTGGGGATATTTGTCATGTAAGAGGGAAGCTTTCAAAGCAAAGGCATACATGGGTCCCTGGCGCTCTCTGTACCTGGAAAATATCCTGGTTAATGCCTTGTAGTTAGTTCTGAGCTTCAGCATGGTACTAACTTTACCTGATACTTCTTTGATTTACCTAGCAAGTAGGAAAGTTGCAATTCAGGGAAAAAAACAGAGGCAGATCCTGTTTTTTAGGGGTTATGTGGGTGGTTAACTTGTTTTTTCTGGAAAATGTACAGACGGAATCTCGGATTATAACCTGAAGTCACACTGACCAGGTCCCCTTCCTTGTGAAGCTTTTAATAATTAACCTTACAATTTAGTGAGCAATTTCTTGCCTAGCAGAGGGTCCTTCCGATTATGTTTTAAAGTTCAAGCACCAGCAGAACTTGATCTTTCATAACTCAACTTCATCGACATTCTTTCCTCATTTCTCATAGCCGTATTATGAAGATTACTATTAACAATAATCATAATTTTCAAAAAATAATTGGAAACCTTGTGCCAAATTCATATACTGAACATTAAGTTGAGGCAATTACTTTTGTTGTTCCGATAAAAGTGAGTCACTGAAGTGCTGCACTTGTGACAATTTCACTTGAGAGAAATTGAAATACAAAGTAATTATTTATTTGGGAGATGTTTCAAGGGTAAAACATCTTTCCAAAAGCTTCACAGCAGCAATTTGAAAAACTAGCAGMCTAGTATTGATGTTTAGGGTGCTTATAGTTACAGTATCATGCACGATTACAACTTCAGGCAGATTTTTTTTCTCACTTTCATGCAAATAACATCCTTACCGAGACCATCCACAAGGTCATTTTTGCGGAACTTACGAGGAGCAGAGGCAGCCTGAATGCGCTRGAAAACTTTTTCCTTCTGACTCCTTGTGGTATCATCTCTTCTTTGAAAATGTAGATGTCCCCTGCATTATAAAACCACAAATTATAAGCATATCTAAGGCTGTCCTTGTAGTGTCACTGAAAGGAAAGAGAGAGAATGAAAGTCTAGAAATGTGCAATATGCAGGAAATTCAATCCAGCTGATCTAGAACTCTGATAGCAAAGCACAGCCCCTTATCAGAGCCACTCAGTTTAACTATGCCCCATTTAATATGGTCCTGACAGCTCAGGGTATATCTTTGCTGTACAGAAGTACAAAAAAAAACTCTTCCCGTTGCTCCTACAATTTCTCTTTAGCTTAATATTTTCTAATGCTGTGGTAATTTGCTGTGCTTTCTGTCTGTCACTTTGTAAAGTCTTTCTGTTTGCAACAATAATAGGCATTTAGGACTTTAAGTATATCTTCAAGAARCATACCCCATTTTATCAGGAAGTACAAGGACTGTCCTTAACCTACATAAATAATGGGGGAATGTTAATTATTCWGTTTAGCTTTTAGGGACAAGTTAGCCACAGGGAAAAGGCATTCCCTGCCCTGTACCCTGCACTTTGTTGTTAAGCTGGAAATCAAGGTATTTCCTATGTTGTTTTTAAAGATTGAATTATATTATATGACTTATTTCTGTGAGTTTTATGTTATGTTCTTGTTCCATTTAATTCCCATAAGAAAGGTCTAATGCCAAAAGACTGAAAACTCTCTTAATGAGGAGAATACAAGCATATGCTTGCAGTTCTCAAGGCTAAGATATGCTTTAGATTGCACAGTGTGTAAGGTTTTGTCTTGTCCTCCAAAGTTGTACAAGAAGARSAGTGGAAGGTCTCTAAATTCAAAGKTCATGTRTTTTATTACTATTATTTTCAGTTACTCTTTGTGTTTGCTTACTTTAAAGCAGATTGCAAAGGATCAGGATTTAGCTGTGCCTGGAAATGGTAGCACTGGGCTATCCTGGCCCATTGTGCTTTTTTTTTTTCCTTGTCAAAAAGTTAAAATGAAAGCTTTGGGGGAAAACAGCATGAGTCTTTTGAAACGCCTTGAACTAAGAGGATTCCTCTTCCTTTGTGAACAACGTAAATGCATTCAGTGATAARGGACAGTTTAGAAAACAGTGTATTTCAAAAATACATATTATGTATATATTTGGTTCTTTGAATTTTGGCCATAACATTTTTAAACTTAATTTTTAAGGTTTCTCTGTTAAACRTTTATTTTTGAGCAATTAGATCTCTCCTCTTGCGATGTTGCAGGTAAAGGCTTGGAGCACTACAGCGCCGTAACAGATGCACCCACTACCTCTGATTTTTGCTCATGCAAAGAGCATTATTGCTTGACTGCCACTGAATTTATGTAAAAAGCAATGTTCCACCAATGGCAGCCTTGTGCATTCACCTTCAGCGGGATATGCTTCCCGTTAATGTTCATCAAAAAAGCACTTTGCTCTAAAGGCCAGCCAACAGAAATACATAATCCTTTAGCCCACACCAAGGATATGCCACATACTCCAATACTTTTTCCTGTCCTTGGCTGGAGCTTAAGGTTAGATGCAATCATTTTTGTGCTGCACTGCTTCATTTCCTCTTTGTGATTTTATTACAGCCCTGTGTAATTTAGAAAAGCCACGGGCTTTTATTTTGTGGAGGGGAAGAGGGGCTCCAAAACCAAGAACTGGGAGTTCTGTATAGCCCTCAGTGTCTGCAGCCTGTGTGTTTGGGGAATACCCAGGAATCTATCCTAATATTGTGAAATGTCACATCAGTAGCAAGGCGCAGGCCACCAYGCAGGCTGCAGATGTGAAAAATTGTCGTACCCCCAAGTCGTTGCCAAGTGGTCACATATTCTCCTCTTCATTTTCCATAGCCTGAAGAGCCTCATTTCAGAAGAGAGAAAAAAAAAAAGTAATCAAATCTGAGAGATTAAGAGATTATAAATGATCTTTTACAAATATGGAGAGCAAATCTTCCCTGTCTTCCTGAGGCTGGTCACAGGAGGTCAATAGAAATGCTTGTGCAAGCCAGGCCAGCAGAGTAGCTGCCTTGATCAAAGACATTAAAGACATGCAAACGATGATAAATCCTTCTGCTTTATATTACAAGATGTATTTAATGTTATTCTGAATGTAAACAGAATCAACCAGTTGCTTTAAGTGGTTTAAAACAGCAGAGAGTGATTGACAAATAATTTAAGAGGTCTGAGATATTGAAAGTAATGTTTCCTGCGGGGACGACTTTCTTGCTCTCAGGACCCTGAGTGTATCTTCATTCCTCTTTGATTTATATATATTGGCTTAACACAAAGGAAAACATGTCTCTGTATTTGAATTATGGCCAYTAATGGTATATAACTAGGGGGGGAAGAAGGAGTCACTGTATGTTAGGAAGATACTTACTTTACATATGCACTTGGGAAAATAAGATTGCAGAAGAGCAAAGCAAAAATAYGTATTCTTCCAAAAAACAGAAAATCTAGGATGGTTGAAATAACATATACTGGAAACAGATTTAAAGAGTTTGAAATAAGGTTTCTTACTGTGCACTGCATTCTTAAATTAACCTTTGCTTTCTGTTTAGCTAATGAAATGCTTTTTAATAGGGGTGGAAACAGAGGCATGGAAGTTAAACAGTTGCAACCAGAATTTAAGAGATTCTGCATCACTTATTAAGCTCACTGTTTGTTAGCACAGAATATGAACCATGATATTTCACATAAACAGAGCCTCAGATGTTCTTCACTTTTGTTGTACTATGCACAGGCTAAAGTAGTCACAGAAAACCTGCAAGAAGAAGAGGAGGACACCATGGCAAGGACTACATGTCAGAGTCATGTGATAGGTACAAAATCGTATTTTACACTGGATTTTATTGCTGTCTGAGTTTGGGGGGGGGGGAAATTTTCATCCTCATGGCTTCATTTATTTGCTCACCTATTATCTCATAGCATTTGTTTAGCACAGCTCAGAGATAGGCAGATTTCCCCAACCCTATAGAAGACAAGGACYTGCTGTTGTCTGTTGTGGTACTTACTAGAAGGGCTCAGAAGCTGGCTGTGAAAGACCGGAAAGACCATCTTGGTTTCATACGGTCCCTTGGCTCTAGGGTGGTTGTGCACGGTGCTTTCGGCCTCACCTTCTGCACAGTTGAGTAATGACAGTGCCAGTCTCGCCAGGAGGGGTAGCAGACCAGGTGGCTGTTCAGAAGAGCCCTTAAAGGCCATACTGCACATATAGGTAAAGGCAATACTGCGGAGGAATTGCCCTTGCTGTATGCTTTTCAGAAGGGCAGCACAGTCTTGATTGGCAAGTGCTGGTTTTTAGGCAGATAAACTTTCAGTGCTTGCTTGAGTATCTGCTAGGCAATGAAGGACACGGCAGAAGTCTGTCAGCCTGGGAAGTGGGGCTGAACAGAAGCATTGGGTTGAAAAACTTCTCTTTGGGGTAGGAAGATGGTGGCAGTGTTTTATGGCTTGCAAATCCTTTCCAGGCCCAAATTCCACAAAATAAGCTCAGTCTGTGCCTGTTGTTGCAAAGCAGAAGATCTTGCTAAGCTCTGCCCTCTGCCCTGGTTTGGTTCCACTGTAGTAACTCAACAAGAACTTTCTGTAAGCTCTAAGAAAGGGAATTCTGTGACTGGGCAGGCACTGGAAAAATGAAATGCTACTTGCTCACTAGGTATATAGGGCCTGTCTGTGTTATCAGAAACTGCCCAAAACAAAATGCAACAACTCACTTAACACTGCTTAAGGTGATTTTTGCTCCGTTGGAAGAATTGCTTTCCTTTCCCTGCCTCCCCTTTCCATGCCTGGATTCTGAAAACTTTTGCTTTGAGTTGATGTGAAATGTTTGGGTTTAATTTTTCAATCTAGCTACTGAACCAGAGGAAAAAAAAAAAAAAGTAAAGTAAAGAAAAAAAACCCAGCTATTTGCAGAGCCTTGTCCTGAAAAGACTCCAATGCTTCCTTGGTGTTCTCGGTGTAATTGATGCTCATGGCTGAAATCTAATCACTATATATTTTGATATATTACTTTGTCAGTGGGTCCTGTAATATGTTGTGCCGCTGGGTTTTTTGAGGGCAWTAATTTTTCAGTCCTGCCACGTGCACCGGATCGGAGCCTATTTGGGACACGRTGGTGCTGGAGCAGGGCGCTGTTGGAGCAGGGTGGCTGGCGCTGCCCAGATTCAAACCAGGTTTGCAACCTGGGTCGTGGCTATGCCCCAGGGAGCTGGGTGAGCTCCTTACAGTGGATCCAGCTCTCCTGTGCACCCGGATCCCTTTTCACAATGAAAAGATCCCTTTTTTTCCCCATTTTGCAGTGCCAGGCAGTGCTGCCCTTGGGAAACTCCTGTAGCTCATACAGGGACCTTTCCATCATCTGAGTTATGCCGGGAGGTAAAAAGCAGCACAAAAGCTGCTTCTTTTCCCTTGGCAATAATGGCTTGACATAGGATCCCATTTATCCCTGCTCTGCCTTGTTAGAATTAATTCACGGATTTTGCTGGATCTGTTGGTCAATGCCAGGAAACTCTCTGGYGATGGGAGACATTATGTACTACAGGTAGTACTGACACAATAAAAATAAAGAGATATCTGAAGGAATTTGTCAGCATTAGCATGTGGCTTCCTAACGCGGAGCCTGCCGACCATTGCTGCCGTCAGCAGGACTCGGCGAGTGCGGGAAACGAGGAGCGTGGGGCTAAGAGCACTTCCCAAATGCACCTAAATCAGTGTCTTGCTGGGCTTTATGTATCACGGCTGTGTTTGTCCTTACATTTGTGGTTTTTGCTGCTGGATCTCAGCTTTTTTTATTTTTTTGTGGATATCCAGCTCTGATAGCTCTGGTTCAGATTTCCTCCCAATTCCCTTTTAGGGGTTTTTCTCGTTCTGGTTTCAAAGCCTTACCCCTCCGACCTTATTCTGCTGGTTTTCTTCTAAAATGTTAACAATAGTGTGATAGAAGATGTAGAAGAGCTATGATTAATCAGGGAAGATTTTCTACGCTGTGGTGAAGTGTGTGTAGAAGAGACAACTGGTGTATATTTGTCAGTGTGAAATACCTAAATTGGCACCAGTTCTGCCCAGTTAGCTGATGAACAAGATACTTAATCCTGAACAGCCTTCAAAGTTGGTCCCATGCACGACAGTGCTGGTTCATCACTTTCTACTGATGAGATACTCCTGGGCCTGTGAAATAGAAAGCATGTGCAAGCTGCCAATGGCTAGTTTTTTAATTTATTGTCAYTTAGTGATCTAAGCAAATTTAGCTATTTTGCTGACGCTTTCGATCTGCTAAATAGAGATTACAGAATGCACGTTAATACACAATTTCCTATTTTGTCTTATGCAYGTGTTTGTATGGACATGGGATCTTTTACATACTAAACACGTACTGCTATTCTGTGCATTAGCACGCATTTGATACATTTTTTAAATTTTTAAAAGAAAAATAACATATACCCTGAGTATTTTTCCTGGGCTGTCAGTGGGGGTGCCAGATCAGGCCCTGACTAAACAGATGCATCACAGAGCAGTCATGCAGCACCGTGTCTTCCCGCAGAAGATAATGTTAAAAGACCTGGCTGCAACATTCCTGGTTGCAARGCTGATTTGCTGGTGCTGGCAGGAATTGTCAGTGCTGGAGTCATTTCCCCATTGTCACAATGGCCAAAAAATTACAAGGCGGTTACAAATGACACCCTTTCACAGCAAAGTTAATAATGGAACACACAGTGCTTTGAATGAGCAACCACTCCTGGAAAAGTGTCATCATATTAATTATAATATATTAAAATATTTCATTGATAATTAAGGGAAAAGCCAAAAACCCATGGTACAAGCAGACAAATGGTGGTGCTGTACAAGTCATTCCCACAAATAACTTCACATGAGGATACTATGGTCTATGGTACCAGTCATACCAAGGACAGAGTTTCCCTGATTGTAATATTAATTTGCTATAGCTAAAATACAGGCAACATAAAGGAGCAAAAGTACTTTCAGCTAGAGAGGTCCCTATGCAAATGAAAGGATTCTTGGCTTTATTTTATATATTTGTAAAGAAGGGGAAAGTTAGTCATAATTAATCAAATCGTTCTTCGGTGTTCTTATAAACCAATGTGGAGACATCAGAGGATGAAGAAGACTTCTTTTGAAAGAATTGACTTCTTTTCAGCCGACAGTTGAAAGTATGTGATTTAGCAAGCCCCTATTTGAAAGCAGTAGGATAATCCCATCTTCGGTTTGCCTTTCTCCTTGTTTCTCCAAAAAGGTGCTGCTAGAAGAATAAAGCAGCACAGAAAATGTGTTTTGCTAATGCTCAAGCCTCATCAAACACACAATCTCAGCACATCTTTGCCAGCCTCAATAGGCTGATGAGAGGTTTCTGGAAAGTTTTCAAGTCTACTCTTAAATTTATACTTAGGTTTCAACATCAAGGAAAAGGMTTTTTTTTTTTTTTTTKGTCCCAGATATTTGTGCGTGAAAATACCTTTTTTCAACATACWGGATGTCCAGTGGTCATTCTGTCCTCAGCAGTTCCCAAATGGATCAGAAAAGCACCTCTGGCAAAGAGCACTGAAGTTGAAGGCAGGCGTGAAAACAGGCAGTTCATCTAAGAGAATTCTGTCATTGAACTGGTAACTTCTTTGCTTTCAAGTGTTACCTTTAATATGCCACTGATTGAACTAAAGGGCCAGTTTCATTCTTTAATAAAATCACACTGAGCTTTAACATCAGGGAGAACACTGCAGGTAGATTTTGTCCTCTGGGTACTCAGAATTACATTACTTGTAAAAATGAATTAAAAAAATCCAGCTTGCTTTAGCACTGCGAGTTCTCTGCAGAGCAAATCTTCATTATGCAAGAATTGGCAGCAGTAGTCCAGAATATTTCTGGGTGTTATTGGTATTAACTGGTCCACTGGAATAAGACAGTGCCTACTGAAGTTGTATGGAGATTTAATTCCCTGAGGCAAGCAGGATTAGTGGAAGGATTCACAGTTCTTGGAASTTAACTGTGGCACGGGCTCCAGTTGTTCGTGTTGAGTATTTCAGATGAATTTCAGATGAATTTGGTGAAAATTAGGAGGATAAATGTAGTCAGGATTTTTGAAACTTTTGAATGAAAGACTTGAGTCTAATTTTTGTCAGGTTTTGGCCAGAGGTTCAGGTCAGTTGCTCCAAATTGATTCATCCAGCATTAAATGAGAACCTGGTAGATAGTGGTATTTCTGTAATAAGGAGGAAAAGCCTAGAGATACTTAAAAGGGTTTTGAAAAGTCTCAGAGTAGATGGAGGGTTGGTCATGCGCTCTGTAAAGGCAACATTAAAAGCTTAGCTGCTTTGTGCTGAACAAAAATACCCACGGAGGTCAAGGGAAGCTTTTGTAGTGCTGCTGTATCCCAGTGCTCAGTTCCATTAAAGTTCCTGATAATCATCTACCTTATAGCTGGCTTTATCATCATTTTTTTCCTGCTTTCCAAGAACAGCCTTGCAGAAGGCTTTGGCAGCTTAATATAAAGGCAATGGGGTCAGAAGCAGGAAGCTCTGTCTTTCAAGCAACTTTTTACAGGTTTCTCTTGAGGGAACTTTGGGTTGAATTCCGTGGATTCCTAGTGTTCCCGAGAGGAAGTGCTCTGGGTAGGGTATGTGTTGTGCTGGGTGCTGCAGTCCCCCCCTTGCAGCTTTGCATGCAGGAAGGCAGACAAGCGATCACACCACATTCGCCATGGCAAACGGGAACGTCCTTGACAGCAAGTTTTACCGATAAGTTGCTGGCCAAGTAGATAGCAATTTTGCAGATATACTGATAGCAAGTGTACGACATACGAAAGGATGTG